TATTTTAGTTGCTGGGACTATAGTTCAATCGTCAAAGCTCACCACAATCACTACGACAATCGAAAAAGTTAACAGGTGGATCGGGACACAAAGTGAATCGAACATTTAGGTGTGTGTGTGTGTGTGTGTGTGTGTGTAGAACTACTGGACCACGCATGCGGTGGTCGACTGATTCAGCAGTCATGGTTGTGCTTGCAACGACTACCACATTGGTCCGAACAGTAAAGGGAGACGTAAAATGATGTGATATAAGACAAATACTGTTTGTCCACGTTCAGTTATGTTTTCGTCAGGCTCCGAGGCCGGTTCGACTGTGCTAACAACAAAGTGCACAAGCGAATCGTTCTGGCTTTCGAAGAGGGACAGGATTGGCGTGTAATTTCTAGGCACAAAGGTGCGACGTATAAGACCGCTGAAAATGAATATTGCGAGGCGAAGTTGCTGAGGCTGCCACCATACTCGCAAATGATCAGTACTATTGAACACATGTGGAGCTTCATTAGGATCAAAGTCAAGAGGGATCTGAGCGATGATTATCCCAGTCATCTTCAAGGAGATCGAGAAGGGGTAATCAGTCAAACAGAATGGCGAATGGAATTCATGGAACAGTCAGTTGCGAAAGCAGCTCGGTTCGTGCGATATTCGCAGGCATTTTACATACATACTCCTAAAATATCAAAAAGGAGCTTCTGGGTTGACCATAAACNACTTATTTACTTACCTGCTTACTTCCTTACAAACGCCGATAAGAATACAAGTAGGTGTTTTTTATGACCATTGAAACAAACAGCTGTGGAACATCATCACAAAGTAAATGTTTCGTAATAGTCCGCATATACTGGTGGTCTCAAAACGGTTGAGAAAATACGAGGATTGCTTATCACATAGCCATATCGAAACTTCTTCCATAAACTAATGACTGCTGTTTCATTATATATATTTTACATTATATATATATATATTTATATTATATATTTAAAAAAAATTGGGAGGTTCTTCAAACATGTACTGTTCTGAATATGGACTCTGAATTGTATTCGCAGTGCTGTGACCCATTAACGTTTGAGGTGCTAACTAAAATTATGGGAACAGGTGATCCGGAATGTGAAGATGGTCTATGATTAACAAAAACAAAACTTCAATGCATTTGGTTGGGTTTAAGGAACCATGCAGAAATGGAACTTATGGTATGCATCACCAACCACTACATCCTCGGCGTTCTTAAAAGTGAAAACAAGTTGATTTACTTTGAATATCTGATACCATTAGGATCTGTCAACTGGCGTCAGTCAGTAAAATGCTCATGCATCCAATTCAGCAGATGTAGCGGAAGATTTTGTTGCTGTAACGGTGTCAATGAGATGTTTCCGTTAACTGAGTTAAAAGTGTTTGTGTAGTCCAAAAAGCAAACATGATCAGTTTTTGGTCGACCACGGATAAAACGGATTGTTTAATACAGCAACCGCATCTACAGTAAAGTGACGCTTACAATAGGCAAACTGATTAGAATCACGAAAATCAACCAAAGAGGAAAGAACCTCAATAATAGTTCGCTCGAAAGTCTTGAGTAGTACGGATGATGAAGCAATAGGCCGAGACTTTTATTCCTTCGGTATTGTAGGGATGCTAACATCATACCATTTATCAGCTATTCTGATTGACTGTAACTAACCTTATCAACAAATCTAAATCTCGTATTTCTGCCGGAAGATTACCACCGTTTATTATTAGAGTCCCCACAGTGGTCATTACTTTTAAACTCATCCTGTTTGCTAACCGCGACCTTGTGAAAAAATTCCCGTTGCAATGTTATGTAATTTTTTGATGATCCTTGTGCAACAATACTTTTTCCGACAACCAGTAGCTCCTTTTATCAAGCGGATCGACTACATTCTGCTTCGTTCAGTTCTGTGGGTTGAGCCCAGAATGGGCGAGCTGCAGTTAGGGCGTAACTGGTTTTGATTGCGAGATCATTGATGAAAAGCAGCCCAGTCACCAAAGTTCACCTCAGTAACTCCAACCCATATCACTGAACCAATGTTGACATTCGAATAGACCCATGATACACGTAATGAAAAGTGCATCGCTCAGATTGCACCGTAAGCACAAAACTCGTCCCTGGTCATAGTTACTGGGGTAACAGAGCTATGGTCAATATCCCAGCGAATATGACCGGTTGTACTTTAGCTGTGGCACGCACGAAACAGGGCGTCAGCCTTCGTGCTTATACAGTCGGCTCTAACTTAGCCGTCTAGCGCAAATCGCACTGCCTTACTGACCCTCCCAATCGACGTCCGTCAGCGAGCTCGGCAACATGCAGGATCGAGGTCTGCTTCATTTAAACAGAGGTACAGTGTGGGAAGACAGATTGTCAATCCGGGGGTAGAAAAAACGTGTGACCAATGAGGTGCGCTGAACAGAAGCAGATCCAACCACAGCGTTTCTTTCTCAATTCAAAGTAACGGTTTCTCAGTTCAGAGTGATGGTTTCTCAGTTCAAAAAGACGGTTCCGCAAATCAAAGTGATAGTTTCTCAAACTAATCTTGAAATGATATGGTTATCCACTTATTCGCAAACACTGACAGGGGTGCATACACGATTACAAGCACCTGCCTGTTTTTTTTTGGGAGGGGGGGGGGAAACTGAGCATATATGCATCCAATTGTCTAAATGTATTGTCTTTTTTACTTCCTTTTTTTATTTATTGGATATACAAACGTACAGTCAATGTTCAGGAAGGGGGCCGCGGTCATCCAAAGGCTGCCTGGAAAATACAGAAATAAGAAAGACGGGGGGCGTTGGAGCGGTCCGAACCCCGGACTCCCAGGTCACCAGTTAGTGACCTAACCAATTGGCCACCACCGCCCATGTGATCATCCCACGTGATCGGCTTCGCTTTGGGGAGTTTCGTGTCACTGCCTCCTTTGTATGAATCATTGTCCTACTCCGTTTGTCTGTTATGCGTGGCTTCGTGTCTGGTTCCCTGAACAATCGAATGGCCTAATCCAAGCTTGCTACTCTAAAATTGATTGAGCCATTGGCACAAGGTGATGACCGTCGACCGTTTAGCTCAGGGGTAAGGGTTTGAAGTCCAAGCCCGAAGGTTCTCGGTTTGACTCCTGACAGGGACGCCAAAAGTATACACTGCTGACGAGTCCCAAACAGGACGAAACAGCTGTCTTTGTTAGTTATCACAAACACTTCCATCGCATGTCGTGATGAGCTGGTTTTTGGAAACAGTTATTCTAAGGTGCATTTTGACACGGTCCAACGCAGTCTGATTCTCATATGACTCAGTTATCCCTGAGAGTCGCCTGACGACTATCCTTACCCTGATATCTCAGGAATCACGGTTTGTATTTTTTTTTAATCTATCATTACTTGATTCATATAAGTAGTACTGTAATTCTTGTTAGTCTTGGTTGCCAGTGCGTTGAATCCGAGATCTTATCGTCGCTTTATCGTCGTGTCTATTAGGAGTAGGTAGTTCTTATCTTGCAGAAAAGTATTTAAAAAGCACAATGTTCTGGATCAAATCATTTTTCCGAAGTCAACAAGCACGTGCGTACCCGAGCTCAATAAATAGGCAAGACAAAACATGAACACAAAATTTCATGGATCACGTTATGCGTTCTCGAGAATTTGCAGAAAAGGATGGGGGTATGCTAGAATCTTTTGATGCACTATAACATTATGAATAAATTTATGTGAGGACAATGGAGGATTTGATTGGATTATATAAAGGATTTCTTCGGGTTCAGATCTAATGGGGCGTGAACTGAGAAGCCTGGAATCATCGTTTCAAACGCTGTTGGCTCTGACCATATATTTTGTGTGTATATACTGCAGGGAAGAGGAACTCAGGAAGATCGGTAGAATCCACACCAAAAAGCAATACCCGTTACCACTGATCGATAGAACTCTCACTTTCATGCATCGAGAGCGACACACACATCGAATAAACCTTCACACAACATAGCTGTATACATCCCCTACCAGGAACAAACATCTTTAAACCTGATAATATTATGCATCGATATCTGGTGCATCAAAAGGATTCGACATCCGTATACGGTGTAACCGATTGCGTATATGCAATTAACTGCGGAGATTGTGCGACAAGCTATAGGAGGAAAAAGTTAAAGTGCCGATTGGCTGAACCCGTGATGCTCACAAAATCCCGCCGAGAATGATAATCATCAATAGAGAAACCGAAAAAAGATTCATTGTCCTACACGCGTTATCACATGGACATAATATTCGACTAAACGCGAGTGCTATTTACAGGTTTGCTTAACCGTGCGGAACGCTACTGCGCGGAGTCACACTCGGTTGTGCGATTCCGAACGATAGCCAAACCTTGCCAAACGCATGATTGAGTTTACTGAACGCGACCAAAAACAGACGTATGCCCAGAGAAAGTCGATCCTGTGAGCGCTCACACTTACAAAACGTACTAAACACACCACACTTGTGGCATATCAAAGCTTATAGAGCTTTCAAGGACAACATGCAGTAATAGCACACATCAATCTAAAGGTCCAAAAGCATTCGGTTAATAGAAAAAATTAACAAGACCTTTGTCAAGCCTTTATTTTTGGTGTGAAAGCTGCCTAATGTGTGGTACACTTAATCTAAACAGCAGTTGAAAGCGAGATTTTGTTTGCATATTCGTGGGATCTGAGGATCCAGTAAGAGAGAAAGAGAAAAAATTGACGAAAATGTAGACTATCAACCCATCCCGGGAGTACTTGTAATTGGGCAATATTCAACGGTATCGTTTTTATAAATAGGTTTAAGGTTGATAGATTTGCAGCAATTACTGACTTTGGTTCTCGTGTATTTTATCACTCGACTTCTCTTCGAACGTCCCACACACGCAACTCCTGGTTTTAATGTTTCTACTGGAAGCCTAATCTTTCAGTCCCATTCGGCTGCTGTACAAACATGCTCTCTGCGCATGTTGACTGCATACTGATACTACACTTGTTCAAATCTCAATGGCTTATAGAGTACAAAAGGTATGCCGTGGAATCTCTCTTTGATTTGCAAAGGCCAAATTGCAAGTAAAGTTTTGACAGGAATATTATCAGTGGAATCGAAAGCATTCATCTTAAATACATCAGATTTCTTTGCAGTAGCTCTTGTAAATTCCCAGAACGTCGAGGGATATTCCATTCTGATTTCCAAATTGTATTGTATCAAATTGTCAATCAATAATAAGCATCTCTTCCATTGCATTCCTATGGTAATCCACCGCTAGAAACCCTAATCAACAGCGCCAACAGCGTAATCAATATGCATCCTTTTCTCTGCTATTTCAGATGGCGCAGTCGTTATCGGACTGGATTTCGGTTGTGATATGTGTGTTAGTCGTAAAAATATTCAGTTTTTCGCGGGCTAATATCCTCGATGAAACAACTTTAACAATCCCAACTCATAGATACACGCTCACCTCTATACCTCAGCAGTTCCTCGCCTCACCCACCTCTTCCTTTATTGTCCATACAACAATCCCAATCAATTCTCAAACAAACCATACCTTACTTTCACAAATAGAAGAGCAGATTTCCCCAAATGTGACCAATATTGGATATGATGCCTTGTTTCCCACATGTGCGCCACCCTGTCAAAATGGTGGAGTGTGCCGTGAGATCAGGTCAGACATAAAGAAGTGTATTTGCCCGAACGATTACAAAGGAGAGCAATGCGAAATTTGTGAGTTGTGATATAATTCTGTGATGATCAGTCCATAGTTGATCTATCTATATTTGTATCAATTTCTTTGTTTCCTCAATTGTCTATTACTCTTTCTCTCACTCGCTCTCGGGGATTTAAGAAAAGTCTGATTTTCATACCTGATTATTTTGGTTGATAATTTTTATTGTGAACGGAATCTAGAAGGCTTTCGTCTGCCGAGCAGGCGCATGCTCTACCTCGGTGATCACTGCATCAATTATAACAGTTGTATCTGAGTCATTTCCTTTGCCATCCGTAGAGGTTTTATATTTCTATTTTGGTCGATCACAGCAATATTTCAATCCCTGTGTCTCGAATTGAACATTGGACAATAGTTTTGCGTGAAGGGAACTGCGGTTAACCCCAGAGTTGCAGTGGGCAAAAGAAGTGGGTTGGTTAAACGTGGATTCAAACACAAGACCTCTGAATGAATGTGTTCTATATCACCTGACCACCAACGTTCCTGGAGATCCACCGCAATTACTGATAAACCTGATAAACACACCAACAATTTATTGGTATTAGTAGTCTCCAGACTTCTATTTTCCGGTGGAGATTCGTTTTTCTAGGGTGATGAATTGAATTTTGGACTAACTCATTATCAAGTTCAGCGTCATTCATTCGGCTCATCGATAACATTCGTCAGACCTCAGCTCAAATCTCTATATATAAAACTTCACCACTAGCAGACTGTATAATAGTTTCCATCTTCTTTGAAGGGTTCATTAAAAGTAGGGATCGGAGAAAAGCAAAATAATGATCTACGACTTTACGCCGCTCATTAGACCATCGGCTTCAATTTTTGTCCCTCATACGCTGTATAGTAGAGGACATGTGGAAGTACCTCACAAGAGGAGATAGTTTTAGAGACCTTTTGTGATAGTTCGTTTCAACAAACAAATTTCGCACTTTCGCAAGCTCTGAGGACTGTCTTTCATTGTTCTTGGAGAAACAAATGATAGGGGTAAAAGCAGTGGGATGTAAACCGAAGAAAGTTGAAAAACTACTGAAGAAATGAAAGCTAGACGGAACGACTTCACATTCGTCAGATCTCGCTATACTACAGGGAACCAACAATTCGTTCCAACTTACAGTTCAAACCTGACACCCGACAATAACTACGTGCTATTTCTTCCAGTAATCTTCAGAGGATTGAGCGCAGAAAAAGCTATATGGTAACTGCTTCCTTTGTCATTTTATATTAGTGGTCTGAGTTAATTTGAAGCAGATCAAACGGTGTTATCCAAAATTTTCTCATCACTGTTCTGTATTATTCCGTTGTAGTATTTTCAGAAATTAAATGTTTAGACCTCATCTCTCGTGGATTCGCTATGGTGGGCCACGTTTTCGCTATTCCGCTGGGCTTTTTATTGGTTAGGCCTTATGAGACTCATATCAGATCTTGTGTTTCTCTTGCTGGTAAATTTGTTCGGAACCAGCTTATTTTCTACGAGCTGTTTTAATCGGAATTATGTTATCACACGTCCGCGCGATCAGCTGATTACTTTTGTACCTGTCATAAGTATCTGTATAAAAACTCTATCGCTCCTTCCTTCGTACAGATTCTGACGTTCACGGATTAAGTTTTGACTGATATCTAAACGAACATGGCATTCCGAACCTTAATTTTGACAACATAGAACTCGGGCTTTTCGTTTTGGCAACCTAAGATGTCTTTGTCTATGTCTGAAAACGCGTTTAGAGATCCGAAGCCAGTAATTAAAGTACAACTTACCCGGTCGTTTTAATTTCAAATCCAAAGATGGAGTGACACGATAATATCGTGCAATCAGGATAAATGGTTAGTGATCTTTCGGTTTTTCCCCAAAGCTTTTGTCATTTTTCGATCCGGGTCAAGTCATTTGTATTTCTGATATCTGCATTCTTTCTTCTTTAATTTTCCGATTTTCCTTTTGTTTCCACAGCATCTACAGAACCACTTAAATTCTGCGATGAATCTACCTGTGCAAATGGTGGAGTTTGCACTGGGACAGCAGTACAACCAGCCTGTTCGTGTCCACCGGATATTCTTGGCAGAACGTGTGAGCGACGTAAGTTGTCCTCAAGAGCAATCCCACTGACTTGCATCCACCCCCTCAGGGTCAGGGTTGGGTGACCAGAGATCGGATTTCACTTACTAGGAATCTACTGAATTAATCGGTTAAATCTACTTACGAGTAATTTTCCGTCATTCCATAATTGAAGGTCAAACCAAAACAGCCATCCAAACCTCATTTTCTGTCTGAAACTCTATTCACAGTCGGAGACGGTGCCGTTCGAAGTAGAATTCAAAGGGTACAAAAGCAGAAGCCAATACAAGCTTTGTGGCTTTATTGCTTTACCGTAACAACACTATTATTGATGAGCAATAGAATTTGTTTCGATTCGGTGCCTAAAGCTGTTTAGATGCGTGGAGTGATTTGTCAATAAGACCCGGCTAAAAGACAATTCTCGTTCTTTATTCCAATTCTGTTCATTTCTTTAATTTCATTTTCGAAACCGTCATTTGGAATTGAGAAACCATAACTTGGAATTGAGGAAGAATCGCTGCGATTGGATCCGCTTCCTTTCAGCATACCTCACTGATCAATTGATCATACATTTTTTCTACCCCCGGATTGATCACCTGTCTTCCCACGCTCTTTCTGTGCTGAAATGAAGCCGACCTCAGTCGTGCATCTTGTCGAGCTCTGTGACGGACGTCGAGTCGGTGGGTCGGTGAGGTCATGTTATGTGCGTGTGACAACCAGGTGGGACGCCACTCGATAAGCATGAGGGGTGACGCACTGTCTCGTGCCCACTACAGCTAAAGTACATTTGATCGTAGTTGCGCTAACAGTCACGATAGCTCAATAATCAAAGCTGACCACAGTAACTACGACCAGGGACGAGTTTTGGGCTTACGGTGCAATCCGGGCGATGTGCGAGAATCATGGGTCTATGTGAATAACAATATTCGTTCAGTGACAGAGGTTGGAGTTCTTGAGGTGAAGTTGGGTGAATGGGTTGGCTGTCATCAATGGCATAGCAACCAAACCTTACGTGTAACTTATCCATTCCTGGTTCAGCCCACAGAACTGAACGAAACAGAACGCAATCGATCTGTTTGTTAAAATGGGTTACTCGTTTTCAGGATAAGTATTGTTGCTCAAGAAGCATCGACAAATGACATTTTTATTACACAATGTGAATTACAGTAAAAGTGGAAATTCCCATGGACATTTAGTATAGTGTAAAAAGGGACAGTAGGGGAACATTCACATAAGATACAGTTTATTGGTTCTGCATTTAAAAAGTGTAAGATAAAGCTTGATAAGAAAAGGTGTACCAAGGGGAGGTGTATTTTTGAAATGATGTTTATTATGTCAGGATGTGTGAATGCAACACAATGTACCGTTTGTGCCAAATTTAAGTTTTACTTACAAGAATATCGTTCGTTATAGCCGAAAGGTGAAATGGATTTTCAAAATAAGGGTGATGTTTCACGAGTTTGGTCACCACTGCATATGAGATGTGCTTAATGGCTTGACAATACGGGCACCGCGTTTGAATCCCTCTCCAAGCAGCGTATGGTGCACCATGCAAACACCACACCTAATTTCTTAATCAAACTTGGGAATATCAAAATTTGTAGAAAATAAAAAGAAATGTTTCAACAGTCGTTGACCTCAGAGTGTATTACGATACTTTTCGATCTAACTCGTCTGCAGTGACATGNCTCAGTCGTGCATCTTGTCGAGCTCTGTGACGGACGTCCAGTCGGTGGGTCGGTGAAGCCATGTTTGTGACAACCAAGTGGAACACCACTCGATACCAATGGAGGTGTATTTTTAAATGATGTTTATTATGTCCTTACATGTACCGTTTGTGCCAAATTTAAAAGTTTTACTTACAAGAGTATTGCTGGTTATAGCCATCTATATGTAACTAGGACATTGCAAGCTGAAATGGATTTTCAAAATGAGGGTGATGTTGCACGAATTTGATCATCACCTGTAAATGAGATGTGCCTATTGGTTTGACAATACGGACCGATCGTTTGAAACCCTCTTCAAGCAGCGTGTGGTGCACCATGCAAATACCACATCCAATTTTTTATTCAAAATTGGTCATA